ACAAGATTTTCTAACTATAATGGAATTACCAGGATTATAGTGCTGGCAAGCTGCCAACTATACAAAAAAGGAAGAGCTTTCATAATCCTAGAAATTGTGATGTTGCTAATATATGCTGCCATTTGACCTTCTATCAGTGTTGAATATAACATTCTAGTCAGATTTCATAGTCACTAATTCCTTAACCTTCAAATATGTATTGATTTTTGTTGCGCGCGCTTACGTTGTGTCTCTTAGGGCCCGACTATACTACGCCTTAGCCGCCTTAGTCGCTTTTTCCGCCGTTTCAAACGTTTTGTGCTTCAAATGCGTATCGATTGTTTTTCTAATTTTTCGCCTCCATTAGCTAAGACATCAATACATATTAATCACCAATAAAAGCGGGTGAAGCTGGTGGAAAAAGCAGTTAACGGCGACCAATGGCGCAATATAGTTTAGCCCTTTTAAGCGCGCTAAGCGTTGTGCGTCCTACATGAACTCTCCTTATCTGACTCTAAAACTCATTTAACAGATATTGCTTAAAGCTCACTTTATTACCGGTGATGAGTTGTTGCACTTATCGATTGATCATTGTTGTGCATTACAGTATTTTCACTTCTATAAGTGCCGATTACTGTCCTTCTGATCTCAGTGAATATATGTATCATAATATGACTATTTCTATCAAGGATAAATATATTCTCAGATGTCACAACTTAAAAGTGCTTGATTTAATGTTTTATCTGCAACCGCAGAATGACCTCACTCTATAGGCGTATCAGGAACTTGCGAATCGAAAAGATTTTATGAAAATTGTACCGTAATGAAGGGAGGAATATGAAGATTTGTTCTGAGGTTTCCAAAATAGTGATGAAATCAGTAAATCATGTAGTCTTCAAAACCATGCAATAAAATGATTCTCAACAACGTTTCATCCCCACAAAAATGGAACTGGAATTTCAATTTCTGAAAACTGCTTGACGAGTCCATTCCGGATTGATTCCAATAGGAACACAACGGTCAATGCGAGCTCCGAGGTGGGAATCCTGAATCATTGTGCAAATACGTTTTTACTGTCGATGCTATGGGCGATGAATATCGAATGAATCAAGCGAAAACACGGAGTTGTGCTATATTTCACTGGATATGAGCGCTACTTGCTCATTGCTATGCCTACTTTCAAGTAATGT